GCTGCAAGTTTATTCTTTCTCTCTTTATTGTTGTTTCCAGGCATGCTCACTGTCACTCTGGCTCGGCATAGATCCAAGCCTCGCGCCTACATTGGATGTATGAAGTCTGGACCTGTCCTGGCTCAAAAGTAAGAGCTCTGTTACCGTGAATGCTAAGCTCCAAGTTTGTGATTATTCAGAGGAGTGAAGTATCACGAACCCGAGTATTGGAAATTCGGCGAAGACGGCAATCGGTACTTTAGGCACGCCACTGGCCAAGTTTATGCGATTTCCAGGGACTTGGCAACGTACATCTCCATAAACCAGTACGTATAGTCCTTACCAAGTTTTAGTTTCTAATCTAGAAAGCTTCTTTCTTTTCCAGGCCTATTTTGCATAAGTATGCGAACGAGGATGTTTCTCTGGGCTCCTGGTTCATAGGCCTGGACGTGGATCATATTGACGATCGTAGTTTTTGTTGTGGAACTCCTCCAGGTACTAGTCAAAGTTCTTGCCATTGTTTTACGCTGTCCTATAATTCTTTTCTGGACAGATTGTGAGTGGAAAGCTCAAGCAGGGAGTGTTTGTGTTGGATCTTTCGATTGGACGTGTAGCGGGATTTGTAGATCAGTCGAGAGGCTCGGCTTTGTTCATCAGCGCTGCGGAGAGGGGGATAGTGCTGTGTGGAACGCAGTTTTATAGCGATGGAAGAAGAAGATTGATATCGTGCTGTAGAATCCATAGGGCCGGCAAAGTTTTGTAACATATCACCGCATTAATTTCTAGGAAATAACAAAGCTGACGGTGCTTTTACTTGCAAAAATCTCGAGAGAGCTTTTGAGCAGCATGAAGATTCGATTGACCACGAGGAGGTGGCGTTCCCGCAATGTTGGAAAAAGATTTGCTCCCCCTGGTATGAAAACAAAAGGATCCAACCCAAACCATTCAATGCTTGGTCTTCTTCTTGGTCAGTGAGAGGCTCCCGTGTTTTGCAAAAGAAATTAAAACAGAGAAACTTGTGACATGTGAAACGCGCAGGGTAAACTACACCGAGAGAGTTTATTAGACAATTAGAACGACAACGTTGCAAAAAGATATGAGCGAAACAATTAGCTTATGTATATAAAGCCTATACTTAGAATCAAATTCAATAAATACAAGTTCAAATAAAAATTAAAGCATATTTAAAATATCCTAGTGAGAGCAAGCTTTGGAGAAACCATGTCAGAAACAACATTCATGAAGCTACTTACTCTCATGCTGCTGCTCTCTTCGACCTACTACAGCAGAGTCCTGGACGACTTCTTGCGCAGAAGCACTGTCACAACAGGAAGCCCTTGGAGATCACCTGAAGGAACCTTTGGATTTGGATTCGTAATGCCTGAGTCTTCAAGCACCCGGAACTTCAATCTCGCGATCTGGTATGACATAGATCCGAAGAAGACTGTCGTCTGGATGGCAATGGCAAACGGGCAGCTTGTCCAGGTGAGTGAAAATGCCAAGCTTGAGTTGAAAGCCGAGGGAGGACTTTCCGTCACTGATGGCAGCAGCTCCGCCCCCTTGTGGCAAACCAATCCCGGACAGTGTTGTGCTGAAAGTGCTTCGCTGCTCGAGAACGGGAACTTAGTTGTCCTTGGAAAAGACAAGAAAGTTGCATGGCAGAGCTTCGACTCCCCAACGAACAACCTTTTGCCCGAGCAGCAGCTCCGCACACAAGGAAATCCGTCCTTGGGATACGCGGGGTTGATTTCCCAGTCTGGAGCATGCTTGTTCTCAACAGTGGTCAGGTGCTGCTCAAGAACTTAAAGCTGGAGATCCCGCAAAAGTACTGGTCTATTGCAAATCCGACACTGAAGTCCACCATGACTTGCCTGGATGACGAAACCGGAGAGCACGTCTCGAACAACAACGCTTGCCAGCCTGATCGTTCTCTCAAGTTCCCGGCCGTCTTGAACTTGAGCTCTCAAGGGGTCCTTTCCTTTTACGACGCAACTGGAAAGAGCTGGGTACGAGGATCAACGAGTTCACAAGACTACGCGCTTGACTATGACGATGCGAATGTGTTGAGGAGACTTACGCTGGACGACGATGGCAATCTCAGGATCTACAGCTTCGGCCCGAAGAACAAGAGTGGCTCCTGGAGCGTCGTCTGGCAAGCCGTCATGCTCGAGTGCGACATCTTTGGAACATGTGGACCTTTCGCTCTCTGCACCTACAGGCCCATAAGAACTTGGAGCTGTCCTCCTGGATTTCACTGAGTTGATCCAAACGACGAATCGAAGGGGTGTGACTACGACATACCTCTGGGAGCTTGTCAAAACTCCCTGATCTCGGTGAAGCTCGTCCAGGTGAATCGAGCAGACTACTACTTCAACGATTACAACTTCGACTGGACCATCAAGTTGCTCGTGAAGTGCAAGGACACCTGCATGCAAGACTGTAAGTGCCTGGCAACCGCATACAAGTACGACGGCACGGGCTTGTGCTTCCTCAAAGGCAACTCCAACAAACTCTACAATGGTAAGCAGATCTTGAACGAGATGAACATGGTGTTTATGAAGTTGTCAACCTGGACACATCTGCAGCCGACGACCAGCACGATCCCTTCCTCGTGGATGCAAACGCCACGGACCAAGTCATGCCAAAGATAAACACATGGACAGTTGACCTCTTGCGGGTCGTAAACACATGTTTATGACAAGAAATGGGAGGAGATGACAGCAGAGATTGAGGGGCTCCTGACCAAGCTCACGTATTGGATGCTATGGACAACTTCTGCAACGAGTTAGGCTTGGGAGGATTTGGGAGCGTGTATAGAGGAAACATGGCCATGAAGAACATCACCACCTATGAACCAGGCCAAGAGGGGGGATGGGTAGTTTTTGAGTTGAGTTAAGTCAATGAAAGTCAAAATAAGTCAATACAATCCCTTAACTAACAAAAATTTAATGGCATTATTTTTAGTTTGTTCTGAACCAAGAATTTTTAACTTAAAATTTAGGTGTTTAAAGTGCTTCACAAGAGTTGCAATCTCTTCGTCTGCATAAGCTTATGTAGATTATTGGTTTGACACTAACTAATCTTTTAGTTTACAAAGAAAGAAAAATATCTATTAAACAATATAATTAATATTAAAATCAGAACATATTTAGTCTTATTTTACTTCCATATTCAAAAAAGTAGAAATGGGTATAGTGAGATGCTCCTTCACTGTAGACTCATGTTGCATATAATATTGTGCCATACGTTCAACATAAATAGGTAAGTGGAATTGACTTTAGTCTATATGATCATCCACATCATCAGGATCAAATATGTGGACTGAAACACCATGTGTGACAAATGTGAATTTAATGACATAGAAACATTTGAGAATAAGTATTATAAATTACTTCAACCACTAACATCACCTATCACAAAATCTCCCAAGAATATCCTCAAAGGCACCCTTCTTCTCAAGTGCAAAAACAACTTAGCCTATCTCTTTTGCTGCTTGCACTATTAACTTGAATCTTGCTATAGCATCAAACACAATCCCCTTTAGTAGATAGAATAACTCCAACAAAATTTATATAGCCATGACCGAATAATGTCAATAGCTAAGGAATGCTGGGTGAAGAACCACTGAGTCAATCATATTTGGGATGATGTCTGTAGAGCTATTGTATCCTAGTAAAGCAAAAGTAGCATGCTCGTCAGCTCATGTGGCCTTATGGCAGTTCCCAACATGGTAGTTCTAGGAATAAACATGGAAAAAAAAAAAAGAATAGGGTTAAACTGTAAATAAAGAAGTCATGCATCTTTCACTTCTGCCCACTAGTGTCTTTTGTATTCACTAGTATACTCGAAAGAAGGCAGCCAAATGAAAACTCCATAAATCCATCATCCTTGTTAGTCAAGTGTGCGAGAAGGCCTTCCCATAGTAGAGAGTGGGGAAGGATCATGACAACCATATAAAGTTGCTTGCAACTTGTAAGGTTTGGAAAAGTGTTAGGCCTACAACACATTCCATGATGGAGTATTCTTATGCAGTGGTGGCATCTCATCAGGAAGATCAAAAAAGATGAAATCAATCTTTTTATAAGGTATGAGCTAATTTAGGCCATGGATCCACTAATCAAGCATATAGAACTCCTAACTAGTAGCATCTAAAAGCTGCATGTAATCCCTAATGAGAATAACAACTTTCCCAACACTGGCCGTTGGGGATAGAGGGTGAACCTGAAACACAATTATTAGAACAAGTAGTTGGAGATAAAATTCATGCTTACTAATCTGTTTGTGAATAGTTGTGGAGGAGAGCTCTTCCAAATCATCATCTATAGCCATAAAGAGGGATGGGAAGAATGTCTTAATCCTTTGAGAAGACTAGTGGCTACTTTTTGCAACATCTATAAAAAAGTGAAGTCAAGAATGATTAAAAAAATGTTCTAAATCAAAGTCCTTACTCTTATAAAAGGCTTCATGATAGCCCTTTTGGTGGTTGTGAGGAACAAGTATTAGAATCTCTTGTACAGTTTCCTCTGGTTCAATGGTGTTTGGATTTAGCATCTCCCTAATGGTTTCTTGAGTGTGGATTCCTGGGTTTTGTTATTGAACTTCAACAACATCGTCGTTATGGTTAGAAAGAGCCTCTAGAAAATAAGAATATAACTCAAGGTTAATATTTTCTAGTTAAGCATTGAGTTTCAAGTGAACTTAAATGACATTTGAGGTAGAGATCCAGCTCAAAGTCCAATGTTAGCATCTACTCCACGAGTTCAAGGTACCACAGGCATAACTCCCTCTTATGTGTACAACGATAGTAGAACTTTGGGTCATACATCCCAAGCTTCTTGCCTCTAATCAAGAGCTTTTGCAAAACACCAGCTATGTATATGGGTGCACCAGAGCAATATTTTAAATATCTACAAAGTAAAAAAATATATATAAATACCAATATATAAATGAAAATTGAGAAAATACCTATAATTATGTGCCTCGCAAGAAATGGTTGGTTCTTGAACTCAGCTGAGCTTGTCCCACCATGAGGAAGCCAACTATTCCCGTAGCTCTACAAGATAAGCATAAATATATTCTTCGAGAGTGATATTTGTGCAGGTGCTAGAAAGAAACTTCTCGTCCCAGACTTGCAATATCTCCTCACCAGTGGCAATACTCTAAGAAATATATGCCTTCTCCTTCATCACCTTTTCCATCCTTGTTTCGCAACGTTTTTCATTATTTTGCAGCCAAGTGTTGAGAAGTTCCAAGCAAATGCTTTATTCGGCAAAGGATATTTTACTCTTAGAGATGTTGTAAATGAGCTCCTTCGGTGCTTTACATGTTCCTACATACATAAGAGTTATAAAATGTTTTATGAATTTTAAAAGAACTTATGAATGCAAGAATAAATCTCAGCAATGCTATCAAGCCATTCCTACCCATGTTATATATCTGCAATTGAGAGTAACTTTTTCACTTTTGTTCTTTTTGTATTCAAATTTGTTGCTCAATTGCAAGCTAGTCCATCTCCTTCTGTTATGCATCCCTTTGAGCATTTTTAAAGAATGAGGCTTTTTCTCCTTTGATTATGGGCTACAACAAAAATTATATAAGTCAAACATACTTCAATACTAATTTACCTTCACCTAGACAGCAACCAAAAAATTAAATGGTAGCTGGTACTAAGTATGCAATTCTTGGCCTTTCCTAGCTGTTAGCTTCACTTGAATTATTTCAAATACCTCATGATTGTACAATATTTTGACCTCGTCTAGTGAAAGCATGCCAATAAACAGAAAGTGCTCAATATCATGTACCAATGTATGAGTTTAAAACACAAATTAGTTAAGCCTACAAAAACATGATATTGGCTAAGTTTACAAAAATAAATTCTTATATGTTGATCTTATGGCATGCCATGTTGAGCTTCATAGTGTGCTCCCGAGTCATTGGTTTGACAAGTGTGATTAGAACACTAATGTGTCATTTATCATCTCGAAATTTCTCTTGAATGCACTTCCAAAATGCTAATTACCTATCATTTCTATCAATCACCCAAAAGAGCTTTCCAATGAACTCTGCAGTCTCTACATGTTGTCCTAAGAATCCATCAAACTCACGAGACTTTCGCAGCCATATAAAGTCCCATTTTTGCTCAAGTTTAGTAGTCACTAGCTCTCTCCAACTAGTTCTAGAGAAAGTTTGTAAAACGATGAAGGTACCAACTGTGCTCCAACCTTTGCAAAGGAGCTATAGATAGCCATGTGAGGTCGTAAGTTAAGCACATACAATGGTTTTGAACCAACCGGCATAAAGGAACCAAAAAACGATAAGGGCCATTCTATGCCATTTCCTATAACACTTTACTAACTATCTGTTCTTGAGCTTAGATGATTGGTTCCCGAATATGGTAATTTAAGATGGTGTTAAAATCATGTATGCATAATCCCTCACCACCACTAGCTCCCCCTGCACCACTAGCCTTAGGAGTAGTAGGAGTAGCTACTATGCCCCCAACAGCCTCTATAGTAGATCCAGCTACAATGCTACCAATAACCTCCTCAGTAAATTCATCTACCTTGCCACAAGCAGCCTCAGCAGCCAAAGGCACAGCTCCCCCACCACCACCAAGATCAAACGCAAATACCCTACCACTAATAGCTACAGTCTTAAGAGCACCAGTACCAAAAACCTCAATAACACTAGCATCAAAATCAAATTTAGCATCCATCTCAACATCTATGTCGTTGTTATGTTCTTCATTGCCTCCTTCAGCACGACCATCAAAAACTTCATTAGATATTTTTCTACTCAATCAGCTA